GTGACATCAAAGCTTAGCTGAAATTGCTAATAGAAATAATTCTGAATTCTTACTTCTAAGCAAATGGTGATGGAAATTTGATAGCGTGAACGATAATTAATGACTTCGACTTTTTCAATTTTTCATTTTATCACTACGCGAAATAAACATTCTGCATTTCCATCATTTCGTGAAAAGTTTTTGTTCGCTCAATAAATTCTAGCAGTGAATGAAATTCAATTAGATCATTCCATGATCATAAGATCGTCATGTAGAAATTTATATGAAATGAGAATTACGAGGTACGAATCGATTATGGAACCAAAAGATTTAAATCATCAATTCCAGTTTAAATGCAAAAAGTCAACTTTTTAATTATGTAAAGCAATTAAGAGATTAGCATTTTCAGTCAATTGAAATGCACAAAATTGTTATCTTCGTGCTTCTCTCTTTGATGAAAATTAGTCCTAAAACAAATTTACTGCTCGCTAATTTGTTTTATTTACATTTCAGAGAAGTAAATAGATGTGAGTTAAGTACTTCAAGACGAATATTTTAATTGGATGTGACGGAAGAAAAAGTAGTTTTATGTATAAATCAAGTGAATTTATTAAAATTGTCTCACAGATAATGTTTAGTATTTTTGCAAACTGCAGTTTTAGTTTTATATCATTACAAGAAGAACTGCAAAGTACTGTTGGCAGAAAGTCTATTCTGTTCAGTCTTGATTACTTGTGATTATTTTTAATATAATGCTGAATTAATTTTATCCACGATTATTTATTTTCGTTCCTATTCTGAGAATTAATTACTTTCATGACAGGAGAGACTCATACTATTATTTGCAATAAATTTTAGTATGATTCTGAAAATCATCATAGTGATTTTTCGCCCAATATGTTCATAATTTTTGATTGATTTTCTTCAGTGCTATGAACAGTTCCTTAATAACCTTCATCATATCGCTTTTCATTACACTTGGCGTGTGTTCAGTGCTAAGGCAATCAGCCAAACTTGGACAAACTGTCGAACTGGAATTCGGAAAAAATGTGAAGGATATTCAAGCAGCAATAAAGAATGCTGAAAGTGCATCGAAAGATCGTGAGCATATTGTAAAAGATGGAATGATCACTCAATATGGGGTAACTTTTGGATATCTAAGATTTTGACTACTGCTATTAGATGATTTTCACTCAGTTCTAACTTTTAGCTTTTTATTTTCTGCATAATTCTTTTTCCAATTTACTGCAGTGCAATAAATTGAAAGTGCTTTTAAATATGAAATGAAACTTCAAACTAGCAGTAATGCAAAATACTCTTTGCATAAAATGTACAACACATTGTTACAGCAGCAAATATACGATGGTCGATTACTGTTCGAAAATGGTACACTGATTATTCAGAAAATAACAGAAAATGATCCGACCACTTACTTTTATTACCATCATAATAATCCTAGATATCCAATGGCAATTGATGTTATCTTGCAGTGAAAGACATTTTTCATACAGATTGTTGCTCTTTTGTGGAAGAAATTAAAAAATACCAAAAAAATTAATATCAAATTTTATTGTTAATCAAACGATTCTCACTTCTGTTAAGAAATAATAAAATTGAATTTGTGAATTCTTGGATGTTTTTAATACTATTTCCACCAATAATACACTGCTTATAGTCAGTGCTGATCTGAAATTTATCACAGCAAAGAAAAAAAGGTATCAATCAAAATTTGTTCTTCTGTGATAGAAGAACAAATTTTGATTGATACCTTTTTTTCTTTGCTGTGATAAATTATCAATGATAATTTTACTACCAGAAAATGAAAATAATGTAATGATATTTTTTGAAGTTCCAAAAAGTATTTTCATATGAAGTAACGAGTATTGTATTCATTCATCGGTTGTCTGTAATTAAAGGTTAATCAGAATTCTCAACTTTTCACTCCACATAATTACACCATCAACGCAGCTTGGAGTCGCTAGCTGCATATTTAAAATTGCATTTATTTATTCAAATTCAACCTTTAAGATGCAAAAATTTTAATGAATCGAAAAGTAAAGAAAATTCCATTTTTGGTTCATTACTGAAACTGTATAATTACTTTGAGACGGGCAAATTAAACTGCTCTAAATATCGCTTCTAATCCCATCGATTAATAAATTTATTAACAAATTTTTTGATTTTATTAAGGTATTCAAAAGTTGAATATAAGGTCAATTTTTGTATATTTGGCAAAACTCATAAATTGTTCCCTAGAAGTTTCCATTTTCAAAGGTTATCCATTATAGAAAACTAAATACGAATTTCTATACGTATAGTACTGGAAAAATTAAGCGAATCCAAACACATTTTCAAGCAACACTGATTGATATATATTGACATTAATATTGTAGACAATCGTAATTAATAGTTTATACCATTCTGGTGCAGATCAAAAAAGCAATATTACGATCAGTCGTAAATAAGTTTAAACATGTGGAAAGTAAATTTAGTCGGTAATGTTTGGACTGAATGCCTAGTATTTCAATTAATGAAAAATAGTAAAAGATTTGTTAGTGTATGTTTGACTGGTCGTGATTTGCCCCTGTGGGGTAGTAGTTATCAACTGTTTTCAATTCATAACTTTCCTATTGTTTTATTTTTGAAAGCAAAATTATACCAAAAAAAAGTTTCATTAATGGTTGAGACATAAAATCATTTAATACATATTTGAATGTAATTCTGAAGTTGATTGCTTCTTTTTCGTCATTATCTTTCTTGAATATTTAATTAACCATACAAGATTAATTATAACGATAAATAGCTATTTAACGGTACAAGTCTTAGTAGATTTGAACTGCTTCTTGTTGTCAGCTGATTTTGCCCTATTTTACGTTATAGTTTGATGAAGCTGTTGTTATTTACCGTAGCTCTGATAAAGCTTATGCAAGCTATCATCCAATATCACGTACACGCAGAGTTGGGACGAGATGTAGAGATAGATTTTGGCTTTGGCGTGTCGAATGTTTGGCTTGCGCAATTCGGAATGTGGTCTACAGAAAGTGATATCATAAAAATCATAGACAATAATGAACCTAATGAATATGCCGTTAGTTTTGGAAATTCCTCAGTACTGATTATATTTTTGGATTAAGAATTTAGAAATTGTGTATTTGTGTTGATTGCTTTTTATTTTATAGAATACCACGAATTCAAGAAATTTCATTGCACCATTCATGTGTTACTGATATTTGATAAACTTCATTTGATATGATTTTTCTCTGCACTGTTAAATTTTATCTGCTGCATTAGTTCATGCGTATTCCATTCAAAATATTTCATTTTTTTGAATTTTTACAAAAATTTCAGTCTTACATATTTGGTGATCGGATTGAGTTCGAAGATGGTAAACTACTCATAAAGCAGTTCAGAGAAGAAGATGAAACTATATTTTTTTATAAGGTGGGTATAAATCCTCGATTGCGGCGGCTGAGTGTTGGATTGTCACATTGGTAAGATATTGACATGGGAGAATCATTTTTGATTGAACAGACGGCAGTGATGTAGAAGGAAGAACTGCGGAAGGGTGGAATCCGGAAATTTATTATTAGAAAATGTTTAAGGAAAGATTCATATTTATGTTATTTGAAAAAAATACAGATTTTGCAATAGACTCTAAGTAGCGTGTAATAAAATAATAATGTACAAGTCGAGAACTTTCATCTACTCTGCTAGATAATTGGCAATTAATTTAGTAAAGACATTGTTTAAAAATTTCTATGACAAGCTGATGATGCATTTGAATGTGTAATAAAGAAGGACAACTGTCACCGTTGAATGATCAGACTTTGAAATGTGTAATGTGCCTATGTGATATTGTTGCAATTTGCATCAAAATTTGAAAGACAAGTTTGTTATCTGAAAATTTAAATATTTAAATTTGTTATACTACAAAATGAATTCAATAAAACTGCTTCAGAAGTTTTCAAGTTGAATATATTATTAAAATAACATTATTTATTACTTCCGCAGTGTGATATTTTATCATTTTTACATTATTGTTATCTGAAACAAATTAATTATTATTTTAGCTTTAATTATTGTTATTAATCACTGAGTTGTTATTAAACTGCAATAAAATCATTATTGCGCACAAATGAAATTATTGACAATAAGACAGTTTTGTAGCAATTAAAATGATAAATTTTGTATAATGATAGCAATAAATGCACCGATGAAAATTCAAGAAAAGATTTCTACAGTTTTCTTATTGAAACTTTTTTAGAATTTAAAAAAGATTCTGATGGTATTAGTCTACAACTTCATACAAAAATGCTTCAATTTTTTGGTGCTTCAGTGGGACAATCATATTAAGCTTGACAGTACATTAAAGATTGGTATGTAAATGAGAACGTCATCAGAAACAATTTGAGAAAGCAAAAAATTCATTTTTGATTTCTTTGAAATTCTTAAGTGGTCGCTCTGTGCAATGATAGCAGCGCTGTTGTTGGTATGCTTATTTATCTGTTCAGACATTTCGGTAGCTTTGTGGAATCTCACAGCTTTTCCTTGGTACTGCGATAAGGAATGCTACGAGAGAATAGGCAAAATGGACATTAGTCATGAAGGATGTCTAAACAGGTTCGTGTGAAAATCATTTCAAGAATAAGTTCACTCTTAATAACTTATGCTAACCTATCACTCTTTAGGTTATTACTTTGGTTTACACATTACTGTTGTTTCGAGTTCTTAGATTTATAAGTTCAATGAGTGAAGCATTTTTCCGCGCAGAAAGAAAGCAAATAAAATGCTAAGATAAGTCTAACATTTATTCTCAAAAATCTAGCTAATCTGATCGCAACCTTCAAATAACACTTTTTTACAAAAAAATAATGCCAGAATTTTCCTAAAATGCACTCAATTAATGCTTGAGTTAAACGAATTAAAGGGAAAGGAATAAAGGTAATTTTGACACTATGTTGTACAAAAAAACTAGTGCAATGACTATAACAAATATTGTATGATGATGGATCACAACAATAGTAAAATTGTTCATGGATTTTAAGCAAAATATATTTTTTTAAACTTTTACTTTTCCACCTTCTAAAGAACTTATCACTGCATGGAACAGTAATTTATTTAGGAATGCCACAACTGAACATGTATTTCAAATGTTTAACATTGGCAGTTCTACGCCAATCTGTCATAAACTTTCAAAGTCTCGACAAAGTATTTGTCTGAAAATGATTGAAGGACAGTATTTCCTTGGTACATGCAACGTAAATGTCACGGATCACAGAATTAGGTGTAGAAAAGCGACTGATAGCATGACCTGGTATCGTGGATTGCAGTCTGTTACTTTTTCGTAAGTCAACTATTTTCCTTTATCGAATTTCATGTCTTGTTATCTAGGTTTAATCCATTTACGTAAAACTTATTTTTGTCGTATTTCAGCGGTAAAAGTTGCTTACGTTGGGATGAAGTAAATTCAACATTCCGATTCTCAGATTTTAGCTCTTATTATGGTCCATCTATAAGTCATCTATCAAGGACACATTCAACTGGAATACACTCGATAGAAAATTATTGTCGCAATCCTGATAGCTCGTCAATGGGGCCTTGGTGCTTTATCGTTGTCTGTATTTGCTTAATTAAACAACCACATTTTTTGAAATGTCCTGTAGTTGTTTGATACAATATATATTGTGTAAAATTTACGTACTTACAATAGAACACATTGCAAGATGAATTCTAGAATATACAGCAAAGTTTTGAAATGAATTAATATTTACTATATTATCAGAGTGATAAAGGGAAGATTCGACGAGAAGCATGCTTCAAACAATGTGAGGGATATAATTATCGTGAATTTTGCCTTGCAAAAATGCTTTTTCCGTATATGCTCCCATCATTTTCACCATTTGATGATGCACCAACTGTCGAAACAGTTAGCGAATCCGTCAAAGGTTTATAATATATTTATACTAACTTGCGAAAAACATTTCATAATTACAAATTAATTTCCAAAAATTTTATCGTAATTACAATAAAATATACCTTTTTATATAAAAAACACCTATTTTAGGACTTTTGATATATTTCAAGGTTAATTAGCAGCGCGAAATCAACCATTACTTAAGTAACCTAAATGTTACTGTACAATTTACTGTGACATTTTTGATGCTCCGCCATATCGTTTAAAAAATAACATCTATATGGATTTTCAATTAACTATCATTTACTTGCAAATTTGATGAATGAAAGTGATGTATAAGGACTACATTCATTTTCTAAACTTACAACCGTCATAAGCTTCTTTTATTTAACGCTATATTGCCCCTTAGACTTGAGTGATATCATTGACGTGTTACCTGTAGTTCGTTTCCATCCCCGAAACAGGCCAATGTTTGTTCCAACCTACTTTGATGACTATATTCGTAATTATCCCACTGATATTTCCACTCGTACACGCTGCTATCAAACGGGTCCACGAACACGAATCGCGGGTCCATGGATATATTCAGATCCTGATGAATCACCCTCTACAGCTAGTCGTTATTGGTGAGTAGAGAGACACTTTCAGTAAAACTTTCACCATATAAAAGAGTGACATCAGCTTGTTTTTATTTACGTACAAATTACACTTGTCAATAAATACTTTTGGCATTCTAAAATACGTTTTATTCATAGCTGTCTTTCCTAATTCTACTCATTTACATATCAGCGAAAGCACTCTTCGGCTATAACACAATGTTTATTTTTTAACATTCTGACCTCTTTTAGACTTTATCACTAAACAGCTTTAATTAGCTTTCTTGATGTCTTTCTAAAGCTGAAAACAGTTGAATCTACTAGTAGTATTTTGATGAATTTTTGATTAATGACTACTTTTTTCTGTTAAATTAATACATTTCATAAATTATTCACAAGTGGTAGTGCAGAACTACCAAAACATTTTGCTCGCATTTTAGATGCCTTCTTACAGTCTAATTTAACTTTAGTTTTTGAAACTTTTTTGTCTGAAGGAACGAATTTTAAAAGTCGGGTAAATGATAAATGTAACTTATGCAACTATTAA